TTTTGGTACTTACGTATTTTCGTCTGAAAAACACGAATTTCATTATGTTTAGTGAAAAGAAGGAAGAATATCATTTGAAATAATGGCGTGTGTAATGTCATTCCAAAGCAATCTATTGACATTTGACATCTGGTATTTGGATTGCCTATGGATTAAATGGCCGTCATCTGGTATGCTTGCTCACTAAATAGGAAAAACTCGCCATAAAAATCATATTTCCTGTTGAATTTTCTATCTTTAAATGTGTCAGTGAAGTACATCATGAGTATATAAAGTGTCCAATGACAAAATAATAAGAGCAAGTACCTGTAAATGCATCCAACACAAGGGGGAAAAGAAGGCAAAATTTCGAACTTTTTCTTGAAATATCTCGATAAATAGTGGTTTGTTCACATTTTCATTATGAAATTCGTGTTTTTCAGACGAAAATACGTAAGTACCAAAAAAATTTTTCGAAAAAAAACCCATCGCATGATAAGTGCACTTTTACCCTAAAAGGTCTTCACAAAAAATGTACTACATATTAAGTTTCGGTTTTCTGTTTCGAGCCAGGAGCTATTATTTCACTTCCAGTCAGCTGCTTATGATCTATTAGGCACAGTTCCGACCTGTCCTGGAATACTGTTCCCATATTTGGAGTGCAGCACCGAAACATACCCTGAAACTGTTGGATTCTGTCCAAAAAAGGGCAATTCGTCTCGTGGGTGATGCCTCGCTCACAAACTCACTCATTTCTCTAGAACACCGTTGGAAAGTTGGCGATCTGGCTCTATTTTATAGATATTTTCATGGACGATGATCTTCTGAAATATCAACAATTATTGTTCCTCCCTTGGCAGTCTCCGCGAGATTATCTCGTCGAGTCGAGGTTTCGCACCCCTTCGTGGTCACTTTGGAGACCTGCAGAACATCTCTTTCCAAAGACTCGTTCATCCAACGAATATCGAGGCTCTGGAACCCATTGCCAAGGGAGGTGTTCCCCGAGGCATATAACCTCCAGAAATTTGAGAAGAACATCAATTCCTACCTCATTTCCCTTGGTTCTCACGATGTTCTCTGAACATTACAGGATATCCCTTTTCGTGGGAACCAGAACATGAAAAAAAGACCAGAACAATTCGATACAATCAAACTTACCTCAGTACATGAGCATGATAATAGTATATTTCATTACGAGTCTGGAAATAGGGAAAAATCATTTCTGGACGAGTGAAGATATAATAATAAAATATTACATAAAAAAAGACACGAAAGAAACTTGGGAAATTTTTATTTTCACAGTTGTAGGAATGAAAAATCTCACCACTAGACCTGGCTTCTACTGGTAATAAGTTCGCGGTCGCTTGTGCCGATAGCTCTAGGATATTATCAGGAATTTCGTGATTTTCTACAGATTTGATTTTGTCGGCATTTTGATTGACAGAGAACAAACAATGGTGACAATACAGTGTTTGGCATGCATGATTCGTTTCCATGGTTACTCTCAAAGTTTTTCCGTGCGCTGTTTCCGTGGGATAGCCAAAAAAAGCCTATCTTACAATATTACTAATATACCGGGTGGCTACGGAAGTATTGCCTACGGAATATCTCAGTTATTGTATGAAGTAGGTTTGTGAAATTTGGAGCGTCGATATAATGACATAAGAGCTAGAATTTGAGCATATTAACATGTCGAAGTTAACTTCCGGTCAGACCGGAAGTAACATCAACTTTCTTATTTTAAATGGAAACCCTATTTTTTTTCTTTTTGCTTTATTCAGCATTCAATTCCCTTTCTAATGACATATCACAAGTTGGTATCTAACCAGGAACTAGATCAGAAAAAAAGTATTATTGAAATTCACCGAGTAGGCCGTGGAAGCAAAATGAAAGCCAAAAAATGACTTTCTATTATATCATTATAAAGGAATGGTTATGCTGAATAGTACAGGCAAGAAAAAGTTGTATGTTCCTATTTGAGTTATAGACCTACAGAGTATTGTTTTTTTCCCAATTTTTCCAATATTTTTTTTGGCGGCTTTTTATAACGCCGACGAATGAAAATAAAATATCACAGTAGTAGCAACTGTTATCAAGTGACGTATGGTTTCCATAGCCAACTTTTCAATTTTTGGCTTTCATTTTGCTTCCACGGCCTACTCAGTGAATTTCAATAATAGTTTTTTTCTGATCTAGTTTCTGGTTAGATACCAACTTGTGATATTCCATTAGAAAGGGAATTGAATGCTGAATGAAGCGAGAAGAAAAAAAATAGGGTTTCCATTTAAAATAAGAAAGTTGATGTACTTCCGGTCAGACCGGAAGTTAACTTCGACATGTCAATATGCTCAAATTCTAGCTCTTATGTCATTATTTCGACGCTCTAAATTTCACAAACCTACTTCATACAATAACTGAGATATTCCGTAGGCAATACTTCCGTAGCCACCCGGTATATGAAAACAAGTTGATTTCAAATAAGTGTAATGAAAATATCATTCCATATAGATGTAGAACTTGATCAGAATTCTCAATCTTGAACCACCCTGTATATAAATAGTGCATCAAGAGATTGGGACATGTGCGCTGTTTTGATCGATAATGAATAGTTTCGACACAGAAAAAACCTAAATTTTAAAAATGTCGATCACCCTATATATATATATATCTGTAATCTTTTTCGATAGACCCCAAGTAGGATACATCGATGAAATCAGCTCTTTAGGTAGAATTTGAAAATGCGATAATATACAGGGTGTTCCATTCGAAATATCAATGTTGCTACTACTTTCCAGTAGAAGCGGCAACACTGCAATGTCGGAAATATTCTAAATGAAGAGAGCGTAATCTCAAATAAAAGCATGCACATTTTCATGGATATCTACTGATTCTCGATATAAAGATAGTGTAAGCTCGTCGTGACATATCCTGTATTGTGAACCAAACACGATGACAACAATATGGTATCAATGGATTTGTATCAGAAAAACCTTCAAAAAAATGTTTATAATTCATACAGGGTGTATCTAAACAACATAAAAAAAATGTAAGTGATGATTCTGTGATGAAAACTAGGGTGGGTACTTAGTATAGAATTTGCTTAAAAACCTCTTCCGGAAAAAAATTTAGTACAAAGGTGTACCTAGAAAGCAAGTGTGCTGAATTGAGGAATAATGCAGTTCTTTCCGAACGCCTCGTATTTCCACCATGGTGCACCATAATTATTTGAATATGAATATGATGGAAAGCCGACACCACAATGAGAACTCGACCTTCCTGCCGATTGATCAACGGATCTCCCGTTAGCAGCGTTGGGCATGTAAACCAGAGGTTGTGAGTTCGACTCTCACGCTCGACGGTGGATTTTTTTTCATTTTCTGTCGTCACTCGAAATTAGGCCTTTCCATCATCTCCATTATACAGGGTGTTCCTAGAAGACATGCTATTATTCAAGGTGGTGATTCTTTCACTCATTTCCAGAAAAAAACTTTCCACTATTGTATGTCCTAAAATAAAAGTCTGAACTTTTGAGATACAGGGTGATAACATTTTGAAAAAAAAACAGGTTTCTGATAATAACTGGGATAATATTGTTGACATCTTCAAGCAGTTTGGTAAAAATCTTCAATGCATCAAGGTGCATTTTTTGATGCATACAAATTTTCCTTTTCTCCACCAGTGGCGCCGTTAGAGGGCTATGATATTATTCTCGGAAGTGAGCAACGAAGGCATATTCCCAAATTTAATAAAATGCTATAAAAAGTCATTCAATATTGTACAAAAAAATTCCTCTTGTTGATACCCGATAGGACGCTCCGTTTTCGAGAGAAAACGAAAAAAACGAGATCAAACTTCAAATTTTGATGTAAATGCTAAGCTTGAGTAGGTATACTCCATTCAGGACGTCCATTACCTACTGGATAACCACAGTATGTACCATTTTGAAATTTTTGCACCGTTTAAGTCACATAGCAGAATACATTTTGCGATCAGGAAAAGCTATGCAGGGTGGACAAAAAAAGAATATACAGGGTAACTCACGGTCGATGGTACGTTAGACGTTTATGGAGAACGGGACAATAGGATCATTCTGAAATTTCGATTACTCACGTAGTTGCTCTTGGTCTATCGATCTTCTATCGAAAAGTAGCAACAACTTTGTTATTTAATAATGGAACACCCGGTATTTTATTGCATTTTCAGATTCTCTCTGAAGAGTTGATCTCATCGATCTATCACACTTGGGGTCTAGCGGAAATGATTACAGAGATATAGGGTGTGAAAAATCGACATTTTTCAACTTTAGGAATTTTTTTTGTCGAAACTATTCATTATTGGTCAAAACGGCTTACATGTCCCTATTTCAACTTTTGATTAACTATCTACTGATATTTAATTGGGACATATACCGAGGTATCAAGATTCTGAATTCTGCACCACCCTGTATTTGTTTCAATTAAATGTCAGTAGATAGTTGATCAAAAGTTGAGATAGGGACATGTGAGCCGTTTTGACCAATAATTAATAGTTTCGACAAAAAAAATTCCTAAAGTTGAAAAATGACGATTTTTCACACCCTATATCTATTTATTTATTTATTTATTTAAAGAAGATTACAAACAGGTTCCTAGAAACCTAATTACATGAATTACATGAATCTCTCTGTAATCATTTCCGCTAGACCCCAAGTGTGATAGATCGATGAAATCAGCTCTTCAGAGAGAATCTGAAAATGCAATAAAATACAGGGTGTTCTGTATAAAATAACAAAGTTGTTGCTACTTTTCGATAGAAGCGGCAACGCCGCAGAGCTGAAAAGATCGATAGACCAAGAGCAACTACGTGGGTAACCAAAATTTCAGAATGATCCTATGTCCCGTTCTCCATAAACGTCTAACGTACCATCGACCGTGAGTTACCCTGTATGTATATTTTCAACTTTGATACCCTGTATCTCAAAAGTTAGGAATTTTACGACATACGTTCATATGAAGTTTTATTCTTGAAATGGATCCAAGAATTGCGGACAGAGTGTCCGTATTCTAATCCGCATTCGCTTGCCGGTCGTGGGTTCGATTCCCATCGACTGCAGAAATTTTTCTAATGGCCCAAGAAAGTGTTTGGGATCACACGTTAAGTCTCTCGAAGACTTCTGAGGGTTGCTCGTAAGGGGGCAACCGAATGACGGATAGAACAATTTTAGAACAATGTTTTTTTTAGAATGTCATTAAGGAACACCCTGTATGTATCTTTTCGGTCGAGTAACCGACAGAAATTATCACTCACTCCTATGTCATAATTATTTTGCAAATCTCTTCCATATCTCAAAATCATTGTACGAAAATCTTGGCCACCCCGTTCATAGTCATAGAGAAAGTTCTACCTTTCAACAACATCCACAAAACATCCAAGGTACGAAGGTGAAAGCCCTGTTATTTAGTGCTAGATCCGGACCACTAGAGGGCGAACGTTTTTGTTTTTTGACTGGATCTGAGAGACGGATTGTTAAGTCGTTGCAGAAAATGAAGCTGGGTTGCTGATCCTGAGCTGTCCCCTCTCTGAAAATGATCGTTTCATTGAACAGATTATACAAGGTGTTCCTAGAAGGTCTGTCCAACATCTACCTGACCTGATTCCGAAATTTCTGCTCCGTTTCTGGGATACACGGTGGTGAAGTTGAAAAATAAAAGTCGACAAGTACACGCCAAGCAAGAATTTCCTAATTCACTGACCAGAAATTGAATATAAAATTTTTCTGCAACCGACACAAATGTCGTCCATTTCAATACCAAAATTAGCTCTTGAATTGACGTTTCTATTAGTGACACGAAAATAGGTATGTTGCTAGGCAACACATTTAGTTCCTAGGAGCTAAAGTTGAATTTTAGTTCCTAGGAGCTAAAGTTGAATTTTAGTTCTTAGGCGCTAAAGTTGAATTTTAGTTCCTAGGCGCTAAAGTTGAATTTCAGTTCCTAGGCGCTAAAGTTGAATTTCAGCTCCTAGGAGCTTGAAGCGAATTTTAGTTCCTAGGCGCTGAAGTTGGGTTAGGTTGGGACACATACCTGATTTTGTTTCCGATTTCGACAGATTTGGCGTTTCATACCCATGCTGGAAATATAAATACACCTTAGTATAGTCTCTGACTATTAACACTATTCACATCTTGATCTGTATTTCATTCGTTATTCTCGGGATGGATAACTTGTTTTCGAATAATCACTGCTAGCAATATTTTTTTGTCTCAAACAACGATAGTGTTTTCCTACATTTGATTATCAAGCCAAACAGAGTGGAGTAAGGAAAGAAATAAATAATCGCTATTATCATTGTTGATATGCTCACTAACCTAACATTTTCCTCGTCTTGTTCCTACCTGGTACTGGCGCGGTATTTGTCATGAGAGCATCTAGTCCATACAAAAATATGTCACTCTGTGGTTGTATTTATATTGAAACTACAATTCGAACATCCTTGAAAATTGAATGAACCTGCTGTTAATGCAGGTAGAACATTCTCACCACACGGATTATTTGTGCATTGCATACATATGGCACGGCATTGGTGGTTACTTCACATATTTATTCGAGTTAATTGTTTCGGTTGCAGAAAAAATAGCATGTTTCATTCGGATCAGAAGTGACTTTGTTTGACTCCGCTCGGCTTCGCTAAACGCTCCGCCTCGCAAATGCAAAATTCGCTTGTCAAACAAAGTGTCACTTTTGATCCTAATAAAACAATCTACTATTCTATTACTGACACAAACATAGGTATGTTGCTAGATATTACTTTTAGTTCCTAGGAGCTAAAGTTGAACTTTGACCTCAGGAATATGTGCTGAGATGTTGTACTGACCTTTTAGTCACAGCTGAATATATATATAGTCTTCAATAAATGACTGAAATTTTTGTATTTATTCAATTATTTTATTAACATCGTTTCATTGAATGTATAGACTGAAGAAAATTGCTAGTAATGAAAGTAAAAAAATATTTTCTAAACATTCAAAGGCTCCAATGAAGACCTCTATTACGATCGTTTTATTGCACAGAATGAAGGATATTTCTAGTAATGAACTTGAAACATTTCGTTCCTAATATTTTGGGCTTTCAATGAAGTCCATCATTACGATCGTTTTATTTCTCAGACTGAAGAATATTCAATGTTCACATTTTTTTTCTGGATAATTTGAGGCTTCAATAGAGACTTCTTTAACGATATGCAACTTTTTTTCACTAAGGTGTTCCATTCAAATTCGAAAGTCGATGTCATTTCCTGAAAAACCGGAAGTTGTATCATTCATCACTCTGACTGCGATGACAGTCATTTTTGACCGACAGCTTGATCTCGTGCTGAGCCGATGCATTTTCATTGGTTTGAACTTGTCAGGCCACGCGAAGTTTACAGAGTAGGGGGCATGTAAGTGATCACTGATCAGCATATTGCTGCTCAGACATTGTAAAGTCGTTCTGGTGTACAGAAGAGAGAGATGTATAGAAATTTAACTGGTGCGCTTGCTCCCTATTGAAGGTCGTTTGCAAGTTTCTCGATGGCGCCTACTCTGATAAACCTTTGATAAACATACTTGACGTGGGTAAATCTCGCTAAGCTCATCCTGGTTACAATCCATATTTACAGGAAACATATTACCGACCGATACATATTTGGATACGTATATGATTTGGATCAGAGCAGTGAACTGATTCCTGATCGAAGGATCGAAACGTCAATATGTCAAAAATATTCTTGAGCTGAAAAAATGGTTATTTCTGAGATTGGGGTCAAGTGTTCATTAGGGACGTGTTCCGTAGTTTCTAAATTTTGTGTATAATACCTAATCCACCATAGAAAAAAGAAAATCTTTGTTCTACAACAGTATTATTTCAGCGATTTGGAATATCAGCGTGAACTGGTGTGAATAAATTCTAAGGTGAGTACCAGTTACCATATCTGCCTATTATTATTTCCGATACTGTCAATAGTTGATACATTCTTTGTTCTGGTTCTTCAAAGAGGAAATTCATCAGATTTCATGCTTTAAATAGGTTCATGTCATGAAAGAAGTGAAGCTTATTAGAATTGGCCACAAAAAAGATTTCTTGCTTCTATTTCAAATTGGAATTTTAATGAAAATGTTGAGCACAGTGTTTATTCGACCACAGAACAATGATGGAAATAAATTCATCCCTCACAGAACCAAGGTTTTGAAAGATTTTCCGATTATGGCGCCTCTATCGCAAATACCTGATATAACCTGAACCCCACGTCCAAAACTCTCTTGCAATTGTTCCATATCGAGAGTTAGTCTGACGAAACAATTGAAGAGTGAGCCCACCAGTTAAATTTCTATACATCTCTCAGAAGAGCATAAGACGATGTCAGTTAAAATCGACCGACGCGGCCTGACAAGGCAATTTTTTTCGATATACAGGGTGTCTGTAAAAGGTTGGGACATGGTTCGGATGTGGACTTTTGGGATAAAAACAAGTTGATTTAGGCCATCCAAAATCGTCTCGTTGAGTTGGTACAAGACGTTGAAGTTTTTTTGGAAAAGAATAATTTTGCTCATAAAAAGAGTTGGCTGAGATCGATTTTCATAATTTTTGGCATGACATGTTCTGTGACAGTAAGTCACGTTTTGAGATGTTTTTGATCATCATCAGTGACCTGCAAGTGTTTCAAACAACCATGTCGCCGTACAAATCTGGTGATAACTTTTCAGAGGTCAGACTGAAAACTTCCAGTTTATTTTTCCAGAAAGATATTCTTTTCAGAAATATTTTTTGTATCGTGATTTTTGATAAGTCTCGAGGTTCATTTGCAAATGAATGATTTCTGATTTCAGGAATTTCAGGAAGTCATAGGAGAGAACAAAGGAGATTTTCAAGAATAATAACTGACCTTCATATTCAGATGCTGCTTCCTGCTGCTCGTCATTTTGACTAGAAACGAGTTAATCATGGAAGTCCTGAATTTTTTCGATAAGGTGCAATAAATAATGGGATTCATTGCCGAATTTGCATGGCCTAGTAGAAGCAGATACCTAAATAGATAAGATATTGAAATTAAAACATACAATACTAAATCATCATTGAAAAGAAATCTCTTCTTCAATTTGTTTTTTCAAAATATTATTTCTTATAATTATGTTCATATTCAAGTGGTCAAGAATGATAGCCTCTTCTTTATTGCCGAAATAGTTATTTATGATATGAGTGCTAAAAGTGACATTTTATTTTGTGAGAAGGGAAGTTTGGGACACGACGCCGAAGGCGGAGTTACAAGGTGTTCTTAGAAAATGTGCATTTTTGAAAAGTGGCTACAAATATTTTTTTGGGAAAAATTCTATGTTCTCATGAAAATAACTGAAAAGCATTGAGTTTGTGATAATAATACCAGAGGCACTGAAATCTGCCTTCCTATATCTTGTTGAAGAATATAACTTGTTCTTCTTGAAGGACAAGTTCTATTTTGAAACGAGGTATATGGTGACTGATTTCAGTGCCTGAGGATCAACTTTCATGACAAACACAATGCTTTGGAAATGTTTTCATGGAAACGAAGAATTTTTGAGAGTTTCAGTCACTTTTTGAAAATTCATATTTTCGAAAAACGCCTTGTAACTCTGAAACTAAGATAGATATCGATATGCAGTTTTCACCATTGAGTTTGTCGTGTGAATTGATCAACAGGCACCAACTGCAGTTTTTTAGAGTCCTTCCATTTGTTTCTTATAAAGGTTAGTTTAGGTACTGACCTCCTAACCTTCTTGGCGAGGGCGTACTTGATAGGATTGCCTGTGTCAGCCATCAAGGTCATGATATGATGAGGCAACCAACAGACTGCGAAGACGAAGGCCAAAAGGAGAAGGATACACGCAACTCTCTTCCGCCCTTTGATCAGCTTGTTTCTCTGGAATTAAGTATGAATCATTCGTGTTTCATTGATTTTTTTCCCATGTTAATCTTAATTTTTATATTACTAAACTATATAGAGGGCTACATGGAATAGGTCCATTATCCTCATTCATTACTCTATTACTATTCCTGAATATCTCTAAGCTTCCTTATGCATCTAATTTTCTAATATTTAAACATACTCAACTAATTTGAGGTTGGTAATATATGTGTATGCTATGTTTTCTTTGAATCTTGTTTTTTTGGGTCGCCTGGTTTGGCATATATAGGTTTTATCATAATCATTACAACTTATTTCGTATATTCCAGAATAAAACCAGAGTAAACATATTTTCCTCCGATTGGCAGCAAATATTAATTTTGCTGACACATATCGATCAGCAAAGTATTACTTTTCCTGCCTAGGCAGCAAAGTGGGTACTTTGCTGCCTAGGCAGCAAAGTGGTTACTTTGCTGATTGATATGTATCAGCAAAATTAAAAATCCATAAATCGTTTATAATTTCCTTCATATTCCATCCGAGACTTCTCCGGCAACAAATTCAACTCTATATTTTTTGCCACCTCCCTTATTAATGGAGGTGTAAGTATACTTCCAGGTCGATATCACTGTCCATTATATAATAATTTAAATATACCGATATTTTTTCGCACAACTGTCAGAAATTTCATGAATTGTCAAACCAACAACTGCGATTTCTATCAAATTTTATTTTAATTGAATACTAAACAGGAAGAATAAAGAGATTGTGGGAATTGTATTAATTCGCAAATACAATATTCTCCCATATCATTTTGAACAATCGGAGAAAAAATTATATGTTCAACTCGGCAGCAAAGTAGATTGACTGCCTTAGCTAGATTCCTAGCCTCGCTACGCTCGGCTATGAATTCAGCCACGGCAGTCAATCTACTACTTTGCTGCCTAGTTAAACAAATAACTATTTTATCAGTTGCTGGCAGAATATCATCGGTTACACAGTGCTGTGGAAAAGCTATGTGAGGATCTAGAGCCAGATTGATTTTCGGGCAGCAAATTGAATGTACTAAGGGAATTTTTTATTTGGATATGTACAATTTTTAAAATGCTTTGGATAGTGTTGAAAGAAGGCTGATTGGAGATTCAATCAATTTTGATTATTTGTTTTCGTTTTCTTCGAGTGTAATATTTTTTCTTCATAAAAATTGATGGACATATAGTTGGAAATGAGAATTTGGAAGTGTGAGGTTCTACAAAAAAACTTACTTGCTGATTAGACGTTGAATCATTATCGAGGGGTGGTTTTCCTGAACACAAAGTTCTTCCCATCACTGAATAAGCGAATATCATTATTGCACCTGAAATAATTGAGGAAAGACAATAAACTTAATAAAAAAATGAATTATCCAATATTATATGGCCATGGGAAAGATTGAATTGAGATTTGGAATTGAGAGAAACCTGGAATTTTGAATTCTTCATGCGTTTCAGAGATACATGGAGAAATGGAAGAATTGACCATTTCGTTTTTATTTTCTGAGTACTTTATGGTGAGAAATATTGAAAAATTTCAAACGTTAATTTATATAGTATGAAAACGCCCAATTTTGCCCACCCTTCACATACAGGCGGCCAGTGATACGGATTCCACTTTGCTTTGAAACTTCCAAACAATGAAAATTTCCTACCGAGAGCTTCGCCACAGTACATTTTTCAGAACAGAAGGAAAATTAAACATAAAAAAAGGAAAAAAAAAAAGGGGGTAGATTGACTCGGGATTTGAACCCCGAAAATTCGTACAAAACATAGTAGAGAGCTGAAGTGAAGCGGTCAACGTTATTGAGCATGCAGAAGTCTCGAAGCAGAGTGATATCCGTGTCACCAGCCACTTTACTGCACAAAGATTTACCTGGAACGGCGAACATGAATACGAACCAGACGATACCGACCGCGCGCCGTGATAGGTCCACCTGCATCCAGTCCTCTTTACACACGCCCACCGTGACGTTCGCCTCGGGAGTGGGGTACACGTCGACCTTGAGCCCGTAGATATAAAGGACGGGAGCGAAGAGGAGGAAGGACAGTAGCCACAGCGCCGCGATCACCGCTAGCACGGTGCTTTTGTTGGAGGAGCGATAAACGAAGCCGAAGAGCGGTCTGGCGATGGCCAGGTACCGGTCGACGGCCATCGCTGTTATCGTAAAGATGCTGGATGCTACCGATATACCTGAATCGAATCACTGTCATGAATAGGAAATAATTCTTGGCCTGTTACAGGTCGACAGCCATGGCTGTTATCGTAAAGTTTCTGGATGCTACCGATGTACCCAAATTGAAATATTGTCATGAATATAGTGGTTTTGTTGATGGAGCGGTAAACGAAGCCAAAGAGTGTTCTGGCAATGGCGAGGTACCGGCCGACGGCCATCACTATTATATAGATAGATTGGCTGTATTTAACACTGTTACATGTAAATGTTTAGTGCAAGTCAAAATGAAACAGTAAGATATTATTCCTTTTCCTAACACAAATACCAATAAAGAACAAATACTCATAAAAAACGAACACACATAGTAGTTAGACTGATATAATGATGAAATATATAATATATAGATGGGAAAATAACTAAAATGAAATATAATAACAGTGAATCATTGAATCATTCATGGATGGAGGTGCCAAAAACAGTTAAGTATAAGGCTTACATTTGACCAAATGAAATGAGTTGAGATTACAGTCCGTGAGTGAGCGACTCAGTAAGTATATCAAAGGACATTTTTGAATCCAAATATTCTTGAGGACTGTAAAAGCATGTTCTGAGAATGAACGACTTGATCGTTTTTTTGAATTTTGAATCACTGAACAACTTCACGGTCATAAGTTGATTGTATAGGGATGAATTCAAACTATTTCTTTCGGACTTTTTCAGTCTATAGCGAGGGGTTTGTAGCAAATGGGCTGATCTAGTGGCATAACCATGAGTATCTGAGTTGATGCATAACACGGCCCTCCTCTTATGAATTTCAATTAGACTCTGATGAACATATAATGATGGCAATGGCATAGCACCAAGTTGTTGAAAAAAAGGTATACAATGATCTCTGGAATCTGCTCCAAAAATAATTCTGGTTATCTCTTTCTGTAGCACAAATACTTTATGGGTATGGCGGAGAGTTTCCCACATAATCATACCATCTAACATATGTGAGTTGCACAGAGAAAAATTAGGTGTTCTCAATGTATCAAAGCTAATTAAGTATTTGCCTGAGTTGTCGAAAAAGGAAGACAGTTCCTGCCAACTTGTTTCGTAAAGATGCTGGACGCTACCGATATACCTGATGAGTGTAAATGATCAAATCCAAATACTGTCAGGAATACGGGGAAATAAGTCTTGTTTCAATTCCGAATTGAACGTGATGGTGGTTTTGTTGAAGGAGCGGTAAACGAAGCCGAAGAGTGGTTTGGCGATGGCGAGGTACCGGTCGACTGCCATCGCTGGTATCGTGAAGATGCTGGATGCTACCGATATACCTGAATCGAATTATTGTCATGAATACGGTAGTTTTGTTGGAGTAGCGGCAATCGCTGTTATCGTAAAGATGCTGGATGCTACCGATATACCTGATGATTACAAGGAAATGATTCTTGGCCTGGTACCGGTCGACAGCCATGTCTGTTATCGTAGATTCTGGATGGTAATGATATACCCAAATCGAAAAATCGTCATGAATACGGTGGTTCTGTTGGAGGAGCAATAAACGAAGCCAAAGAGCGGTCTGGCAATGGCCAGGTACCGGTCGACCATCGCTGTTATCGTAGAGATGCTGGACGCTACCGATATACCTGATTAGACTGTCAGGAATACGGAGAAATAAGTCTTGTTTCAATTCCAAATTCAATGTGATGGTGGTTTTGTTGGAGGAGCGGTAAACGAAGCCGAACAGTGGTCTGGTGATGGTCAGGTATCGGTCAACGGCCATCACTGACCGATATTTTTTTTTCTATTTTATTCATACACCATCCAACAGCCGGAGCCAATTAAAGGGTGGGAAAGATCGATATCTCGATGGGTGGAAATTATCGAATCGAAATATTGTCACGAATACGGGGAAATAATTCTTGTTTCAATTTCAAATTCAATGTAAATACTTGATTGGTTGAGACAAATCACTAAAGGGTGATGACGACTTTGTCAATCAAGTCGAATGAAAATAAACTACTAATTTTTGAATAACTGTAGAACTTTATAGAAGATCTGATTTGCTTTCAGCTTATCTGATCATGAAAGGTAAGGCATTTTTCCAAGAGGATGTGGAATTCATGAACTAAACATATCCACCAGATAAAGCCTCGATAAAAGTTGCATAATAACGGATATTTTATCATCAAAATATGGCAGGACACACCAGGAATGAGACATAAAAGCTCCATATAAAGGGAACTCCGAAGAGGCTTACAAAAGAGGTCCTATTCCTCAACAGGCGAGACCTTGAAATTGTAGGGGGGCTCCTTACGGGGCACAACCACCTCAATAGGCACCTAGAGCTTATTGGGATCAAAGATGATCCCCTTTGCAGATGGTGCCTGGAAGATGACGAGAAGTCATCGCATGTCCTCACTGAGTGCCCAGCATGGACACATCAGAGGAGGGCTATCCTTGGCAACATGATTTAAAGGCCAGAGGACGTGAAAAAGATTCAGCTGAGGAAGCTGCTGAACTTCTTCAAGGAAGTCAGCATACCCAATAATAATAATAATATAATGTTGCCGGGGTGGCAACGGGCGGGACCAATTCCCACCCCCCTCTCACAAGACTCCCATAGGGATGACTGCCGGTCACCTATCTTTCGACTTATACCGACAGCACCCCAGGGAGAAATGGAGGATTTGGATACGCCAAATCAGCGCGCTAGAGCCATCTCCGTTATGTAACGGCATGTTCTCCTGCTACCATTTTATTATACCAATGGTGAGGCCGTCTGATAAGACAGACTACTGGCTCTGCAGTGTCAGTGCCCGAGCAGAAACGCTGCTCACCCGCCGAGGCAGGCAAGATATCCTCCCACTTGACCCATAGTGGGATTCTTCTTCACCTCCTCTACCGTAGTCCGGTGGTGTTTTTTTGGAAACCGCTGAATGTCAAAACATGTGGGCGCACAAAGTTGTTCGTGGACAAAGAACTAGTATTTTTGCAATACGTAGTGACTCAAGCCACGCAAGAGTTATATGAGTTTTTGAACTTCGTCATTTTGCAACTTCCACATGATACATTTTTCTACGTCTGAATCAACAATAACACCTCAGGATAAAATTATTCAGTGTCAATATCCTAATGTCCGTGGATTATATTGCTTTCATAATTCAATGTGTATTTCGGTGTATAAACGTCTGATTGATGATAACACTTACCATATCTCTTTATGTCATACCCGGAGTATGAGCAAATACGATACAGGATAATTCAAATATTATCAAATCATGTCATCACAAAAATTCTGCGGTACACGAAAAAAAAAAGGATTGGTTGCATCAACCAATTATTTATGCTTGAATTATTTTTGTTGGACTGAGCAATTTTCTGTTGAATCAACCAGATACATGATTATTTCATGGAAGCAGCTTGTTCAAATCAAGAATGTAGTCTGATTGAATCAACAGTATTATATCAATTCCATCAACAAAATATATGGTTTTCTCAAGAACAAATTATGTCGATCCAAAATAATGTCGATGTTGATTCAACTATAAACATTTTGTTGATTTAATGAAATAATGATCATTCTGATGAGAATATATCTTTGAAACAACATACAAGTTTTCTTATTCTGATGTTGCAATGTACTCGTTTCGTACGGATCATTTGCTTGAATAGAGCAACGAAATATGTAATTTCAATGAAATATTTTGTTCATTCTACATCAAGTTAAATTTTCGTCTCTAGATGGCGATCATTTCGTCTCGTCTATGCATGCCTCGAATTTATTATATACGTAAGGCCGGATTCTTCGTCTTTGAAATATCAGCTGGATAAATCGAACTTAGGATGATTAGCAATCCGAACTAGTTTTGCATTCATGGATGTGCTTGATTGAATAAGATCCAGAGTTCATTCAAGACATATTTTACTCAATTCAAACTTCAAATTCGCTCTGAAACAAGATATAGATTTACTCATTTCAAGATTATATTTTGTCGTGCATATATGACACTTTTATTTGCTTCATTCAATTAAATTTTGCTTGATACAACAATTACTTTTATACCGTGTAGCAATTGATGACGAATGTGTTGATATTTTGATGGGGTTCCTCTTGGACCAATTCATTAAGTATAGATCCTGTTTCTGTTCCGATCAAATATCAGTAAATAGTATATCAATAGTTGAGATAGGGTTATGTGAGTCGTTTCGGCCGATAATTAATATTTTCGACACAAACAAATCCTAAAAGTTGAAAAATCTCTGTAACCATCATCGTTAGACCCCAAGCATGATATATCGATGGAATCAACTTTTCAGGGAGAATCTAAAAATGCAATGAAATACAGGGTATTGAAATAACACAGTTAAAATAGTTTTGCATCAGCCGAAGAGAAGTAAAGACTGGAGATCTATGCTAGAAGTCGACTAGTTTCCTAGTTTTGTTTATTCTATTAATGTAAAATTTCAGAAAATTCCCGAATTAATACTGAATTTGGCTCAACAAAACAATTTGTCGAATGAAAACAGAGTTTTTTCTTGAATCAACAAAATATTTCTTTGAATCAACAAAATATCTCATTGAATTAACCAAATATTTCATTACATCAACCAAATAATTCATTGAATCAACCAAATATTCGATTGAATCAATATCTTGTTATCATGAATCAAACAAAATGATGTTTGAGCCAATTCAATATCTCTTCATAAACAATTCATGGATGTGCTTGATTGAATAAGATCTAGAGTTCATTTACTCGATTCAAACTTCAAATTCGCTCTGAAACAAGATATAGATTTACTCATTTCAAGATTATATTTTGTCGCGCATATATGACACTTTTATTTGCTTCATTCAATTAAATTTTGCTTGATTCGACAATTACTTTTTTTCCGTGTTGTTGATAGAAGCGGCACCACTGCATTGCTGAAATTATTTTAAATGAGGAGTGCGTATTCTAAAATATAAGCATACATATTTTCATGCATCTCTGCAGACTGATTCTCGATATAGAGATAGTGTAAGTTCGTCGTGACATACCCTGTATTTCCAACTACATTATTGAAAAGTGGATTTTCACATTACTATGAGATATAGAAATCTGCAAAACCGTTTCCATTCATGTAACGATTTTTGAGAGAGTATATTCAAACAGCTTGATTATTGAGATTATTGTATATGTATATTCGATCTTAATTTTCGTGGGGTATTAATTATCCAACAAATCACCCTATATACCTTCTTCTAGCGTTACTATTTTTAGAGCGGTTTTTGAGAAACTATATTCAAATAACTTGATTATTGTACGTCAAACATTGAAAAATTTTCACATCTTGTAGGATTCCAACCCAAATTTTCGTAGGATTCTAATTCTCCAACAAATCACCCTATATACATGGTTATACAATCGCCATATGCCGCAACATTATGATACCAATTCATACAGGTAGGTTGTGATTTTTATTTGTTTGATCACACTGATAATATTTATTTACGGATAATAAAAACAAATCTAGAATGGTTCAATACTCACATTGAAGATAGGCTGATATCTTGCAAACATACGATCCAAAATAGTCGGCTGCCGTGTAAGCCAGCAAAGCTGCATGTGGCATGCATACCAGGGTCACCAGTAGATCAGCAACTGATAAGTTCACCAAAAAATAGTTGGTGACACTGAAATAAACAGAAGATGATAATACTGTCTGTAGGTTAATCAAGGAGGTGGTACATTCATTATTCCAGATTTTTTTCTGATTTTATATCATCATTACCCAGGGGCCAAGATTATATCCCTAGGCATCAGCCGAGGGGTATAAGGTCCCATGGTAATGATTTTTTTTCTTTTTTTTTCGCTTGGAGCGCACGAAAGGGAATCCCTATAATGTTCAAAGAACATCGTGCGTTCCTAGGGAGGATAGGGATAGGAGGTAGGTATTGGAATTTTTTTTGAACTTTTGGAGATTATATGTTGTTGGGAATACTTCCACAGGCAATGAATTCCAGAGCCTAGCCGTTCTATGGATGGAGGAGTCTTAATAAAGTGCTGTTCGACATCTTTCGAGGTTGACAACGAAAGAATGTGCTGACTGGGCTTGTCTAGTTCGTCTGATTGGTATTGCTAGTGAAGGGATGATAGCAGAGATTTCCGAAGAACATTTCCCGTGGAAGTATCGATAGAAAAGTGAAAGTTCGCCGACCTTTCTACGGTGTTCCAATGATGTCAAAGAGTGAGTGTGGCGTCACCCACCAGGCGAATGGCTCTTCTCTGGATGGAATCTAAGAGCATCAGCGTATGTTTTGGTGCTGAACCCCATATGTGGGAACAGTATTCTAGAACAGGCCGTATCTGCGCTTTGTAGATCGTGAGAAGCTGTTGAGGTGTAATAGTAGCTTTTCGCACGGAACAAGAATCCGAGTTTTTGTGAAGCAGCTTTTACGATGGATCTGACATGATTATCCCATGAAAGAGTGTTGCTGATGGAAATACAACGGAAATACCGAGCATAGATATGGTGGGCTTGGTGGGAATGGTGGAGCCAGACATTACAATATCGGGCATACTGAGTTCCGCCTTTCTAAAGAAAATGCAGGCTTGAGTTTTGGTGGCGTTGAATTCAACTAGGTTGTTTGTTCCCCAGGCTGTGATTTCAGCAAGATCTTCATTGACAGCATTGACCTGCCTGCGCCGTGAGTTCTTAGTTTCCTGGGAAGAAATGGGAATTCTGGAAGAGAACGCAGTATGGAGGGTACTATCATCTGCAAAGCTGTGGATGGGGCAAGTTGTTTCTCCCAACAGATCATTGATATGAAGCAGGAATAATGTTGGTGCCAAAATTGATCCTTGTGGAACGCCGGAATTGATGCCAATGGTATCAGACGATACACCGTCCACCACCACGTGAAGCGATCTGCCTGAAAGAAAACTCGATAAGAGATGACATAGCTGAGGTGGTAAGCCGTATGATGGTAGTTTGTGGAGGAGTCCTTCGTGCCAAACACGGTCGAATGCGTTCGATATGTCCAACGCGACAGCTAGAGATTCCCCGTGTTTTTCTATTGAAGATTGCCATAAATGGGTGACGTAGGCAAGTAGATCTCCAGTAGATCTTCGGTGGCGAAAGCCGTATTGTCTATCATTGATGATTCCTGAGCTCTCCAGATATTTGATAAGCTCAATATTGATGGCTTTCTCCATCACTTTGGAGATTACTGATAACAGGGCAATGGGCCTGTAGTTGTTGGGCAGGTTCTTGTTCCCTTTTTTGGGGATTGGTTGGACTCTAGCTGTCTTCCAGCACGATGGAAAAATACCCGACCTGTACGAGATGGTAAACAACTTGCAGAGAATCGGTGTTAATTCTGGTGCACATTTTTTGAGGATTATGGGTGGAATTCCATCAGGACCGTTAGCCTTATTCGTTTTGAGACCAAGCAAAATTCGTCTGATAGTGCGTTGACGGAAGACGATTTCGGGCATTCGACTCTCAACGGGTGGAATGTCTGACGGCAGTTTTCCTTGGGAATATAAAGTAGAGTTTGCTGCGAAAATCTCTGCAAAAATATTTGCTTTCTCCTGCGATGTTGTTGCCAATGTGCCGTCGGATTTGGACAGTGGTGGAAATGAACTATTAGTGAAATTTCTTCCGACCGCTTTAGCAAGGGACCAAAACGAACGGGAGCCATTGGGGCAATCTATGAGTTTCGACCTTATCTTGGCATTGTATGTTTCTTTCGAAGCATCTATTGTTTGGCTGCAGTTATTCCTGGCATCAACGTATTCTGCTCTAGTCGCGAGGTTAGGGTTTTTTCGCCAGCGATGGTAGGCTGTTTGTTTCAAGGCAACAGTTCTAGAACAGTTTTTGTTGAACCAGGGTTGCGAAGGTGATGATCTTTTCGAGAAATGAGGTATGTATGTGTCCATTCCGAGCATGATGATCTCGGATATTTCCGCAGCACACTGTGAAGGGTCCTCAGAGTCAAAGCATACTCTATGTTATACATGATTGTATTCAGAAAAAAAAAAACTCTATCAGAAAAAAAATTTAAAAATATAATAATATGTTTCCATTCGAAAAATACGACGATCTGGAACTTCTCTGTCAGGAAATCGGTCAACGTATAATCGCAATGCTTGACCACTATTTCTACCGCATTCAAAGTACGTTTGTATCATGTCGGTCAGTTGATTAGTATTCATATTTCGTTTTATTTTGAAGAATGAATATCTTGAGCTGTTTGAAAATATGGAACAAATGTCACACTGACAGCTCATGGAAATAGTTGATTCTGAGACATCTACTGCCACTTCAATGACTCGATAGACAATGTAATGAAAAGACCCATTTCTTGTCGGCGGAGAATTGATTTTTGTCAACTAATTTTGTGCAAAAATCAACTTGTTCATTTCCTCCGCTACGCGTCGTGCATCAAGCTTCACACGCGGGAGGAAATGGAAACATTTCCTCTCTTGATATATAAATAGCTATTTTCTATGCTTCTCCGGTGATATCTACTATTTTATACTTTCAAAGCCAACAAGTCTCCAAAACCCACAAGCAAGTCCATGAAATGCTAGTGAACGATTTTATGTATTTCACACAATTATGTGGCAAAATGGCCTTCTACTATAGGGTAAGTTTAAGAGTCTGGATTGAGTAAACAAGCGAGTGTAACGCGATAAAATTTGATCATGCGGAAACATCTAAAATTCAAAGCAGTCCGCGGAGTCTGTTTTTTGTTGTGATTGAGTCCTTGGGGGTTATGTGTTTTCAAGGAGGGAAACGTCGAATGGTTTGTTTTTCCCCGTTTTCTTATATCGAATATAGGTATACGTAGCGACTAGCCATATATCATCCCATAAATCTTTCTTTATAAACTACTACCCTTATATTCACGCCGGCGTTTTCGCCTCCATTGTTTTTCCAGAATAATCACCTACATGACATGGTCCACTTTCTATATCCAGTCAAAAAAACGAATTAGGTTTCAAAAATTATACAGGGTAATTCAGGTGTCAAGGTATAAACTGAAATGGGTGATAGATCTCATCATTTTGATGAAAAAAAGTTTACATAAACATGACACGCGACACGTGTTTCGCTAACTATGTTAGCATCTTCAGGAGAAGATCGAAAGATTTAAAAGATTAAAAGATGTAATTATTTCTATTGCGTAATCCATTATTGCTAACAAATTTTGTACAAGAATAAAATTCAAGAGAAGAATAGATTTATTTAACAAGGATAAAAAGGCATTTACCCTCAAAAACGTATCACCTTGTATATTTTGAAAATCTTCAAAATGCTAAAAATCATGATTTCCTAGAAAGTATCCACCACACCAAATTTCAAATTGATATATTTGAAAGTGAGCGGGATATTTTGATATAAATAAATAAACTTTTACCTCATTTTACTTGAGAAATCTGAACTTGAATTAGCTATTTTCAACTAATGAAAGTATCAAACGAGTCTATTTCATGGATTTAGTCGCTGATTTGTAACAAATATAATAATTTGTCTAGTCATTAATTCTGTTTGAGCGAAATTTCCCATCAAAATTAGAAAAAATATTGTATACGTATCACGTTAGGAAACGCATTTTCTATAACTCTGATGTGTCACACAAAATGACGAGTTTCCGAATAACTGGTTACGTAAATATCTATATTTTCTCCAAACGGCATAGAAAGTGGCTTCTCTATGATACTTTCAACAGACAGCAAAGGTGTTCTTTCTCTGCCTAGGCAGAAAAATTTATTGCTATGCAGCGTTCCAAGTAATTTGAATGAAATTGGTAAACAAAATTGACACTGACATTGGGTAAACACAAAATGATGGAGCTTTCAACAAACAAATTACACAAAATTGGTTTCGTAACATTTGGAGAGAAAATTATATGTTTCGCACGGCAGCAAAGTAGATTTACTGCCGTGGCTGAATTCCTAGCCTCGCTACATTCAATCTACTACTTTGCTTCCTAGTAAAAGAAATAACGATTGTTCGAAATTCAATAATTACAAAGGCCATAGAAACACTTAATAATAATAATATGATATAACCACCCATCAGTCAGTAAAGTTTACATTTTGAAACTAGAAAATCGCTTCGAGTAGGATTCACTCAAATAAATAGTCGATAGTGAATACCAAACGTTTAGTGAAATAGGAGCCATTCACTATACAGTCTGTCCAAGATAAGGTTGAACAGCATGGGGATCTCGGAAACTGTAGGAGATACGAAGTCGCTTAAATAGGGAAAAAGTTGCGCATTCAGAGGCTCATATCAAGAGCCTTCGAAAATTTTGAAAATTATTTTTAGTTTTTGAGTTATATCGAAAAAAGTGAATTTTTGGAATTTCTATTTTATTTTTTTTCTCCGTTACTATCAGAGATACAGGAAAACTGAAAATATTTTTTCATTGCAACTTTTGATGAGGTTTAACGTGGTGATACCGATTTTGTTATGCGACGTTTCGTATTCGTGGAACCATCATCAACTTTTGTTTTTTAAATACGGTCCTGATGATTTTTTCACAGATTCTGAAAGGTTTTTTTATTCTGAATTCAACAATGTACTATACAAGGTGATTCGAATGTGTTTCGACCTATTTCAATCCATCATCAATGTTTTTTCGAACTTCCAAAAGAAAAAAAGACATCAGTTCCACTTATT